TGTGTGTGTGTATATATGTATATATATATATATTTGTGTGAAAATGTGTTTGCCCCCTTCCTGATGTTTCAGATCATCAAACAAATTTAAATATTAGTCAAAGATAACACAAGTAAACACAACATGCAGTTTTTAAAGGGAGGTTTTTATTATTAAGGGAAAACAAAATCCAAACCCACATAGCCCTGTGTGAAAAAGTGTTTGCCCCCCTCCTGTTAAAACATAGCTTAACTCTGGTTTATCACACCTGAGTTCAATTTCTCTAGCCACACCCAGGCCTGATTACTGCCACACCTGTTCGCAATCAAGAAATCACTGAAATAAGACTTGACTGGCAAAGTGAAGTAGACCAAAAGATCCTCAAAGCTACACATCATGCCGAGATCCAAAGAAATCCAGGAACAAATGTGAAAGAAAGTAATTGAGATCTATCAGTCTGGAAAAGGTTATAAGGCCATTTCTAAAGCTTTGGGACTCCAGCGAACCACAGTGAGAGCCACTATCCACATATGGCGAAAACATGGAACAGTGGTGAACCTTCCCAGGAGTGGCTGGCCAACCAAAATTACACCAAGAGCGCAGCGACGACTCATCCAAGAGGTCACAAAAGACTCCACAACAACATCCAAAGAACTGCAGGCCTCACTTGCCTCAGTTCAGGTGTTTATGACTCCACCATAAGAAAGAGACTGGGCAAAAATGGCCTGCATGGCAGAATTCCAAGACGAAAACCGCTGCTGAGCAAAAAGAACATAAAAGATCATCTCCGTTATGCCAGAAAACATCTTGATGATCCCCAAGACTTTTGGGAAAATACTCTGTGGACTGATTACATCTTACATCTTGCGTAAGAGTAACACCGCATTTCAGAAAAAGAACATCATACCAACAGTAAAATATGGTGGTGGTAGTGTGATGGTCTGGGGCTGTTTTGCTGCTTCAGGACCTGGAAGACTTGCTGTGATAAATGGAACCCTGAATTCTGCGGTCTACCAAAAAATCCTGAAGGATAATGTGCGGCCATCTGTTCGTGACCTCAAGCTGAAGCGAACTTGGGTTCTGCAGTAGGATAATGATCCAGAACACACCAGCTCTGAATGGCTGAAGAAAAACAAAATTAAGACTTTGGAGTGGCCTAGCCAAAGTTCTGACCTGAATCCTATTGAGATGCTGTGGCATGACCTTAAAAAGGCGGTTCATGCTCCAAAACCTTCCAATGTAGTTGAATTACAACAATTCTGCAAAGATGAGTGGACCAAAATTCCTGCACAGCGCTGTAACAGATTCATTGCAAGTTATCGTAAAAGCTTGATTGCAGTTCTTGTTACTAAGGGTGGCCCAACCAGTTATTAGGTTTAGGGGGCAAACACTTTTTCACACAGAGCCATGTGGGTTTGGATTTTGTTTTCCCTTAATAATAAAAACCTTCCTTTTAAAAACTGCATGTTGTGTTTACTTGTGTTATCTTTGACTCTTATTTAAATTTGATCTGAAACATTAAAGTGTGACAAAGGTGCAAAACAATGAAAAATCAGGAAGGGGGCCAACACTTTTTCACACAACTGTATATACATATATACATACATACATGGCTTGAAAGATTTTAGGGTGTCTCACCACTCAGTCAAAAATGTCATTACTCAGCATGACCGGACTATAGCCTTGCAATTTATGTTAACATTTTTTAGGGACAGATAGTTTTCTTTTGGTGGTATTTAATCACCACTGGAGGGTTTATTTTTTACTATATAATGAAAACAGTACCGTAAATATTGAAGAAAAAAAATTCCCTACTTTATGTTAAACATTTATTAATACCAATATTTTTGGTAAAATATAAAAGATATAAATATAAAATAAAATATAAAAGATGGGGTCACGTTGGGTAAATAGACACCAAACATGTCAATCACAAAAATTTACCACACTGAAAATTGGGGGTTGCAGCTGGGACTGGGCTCTGGTGCACTACCACTGTCCTAAAATCATTAGTGTGTATTGTTTTAGAAAAATGTTACATGTCACTAAAAAAAAGTATCGGTAATTGGTATCGGCGAGCACTTGAGGAACTTAGTCTTGAAAAAATTGCATCGGTGCATCCCTACTATATATATACAGTCTCATTTTACCACATTTTATGTTGATGGCTATTTTTACTTTTAAGACTAATGTGGATGGAAACAAGAGCAGGAATGTCAGGATTTTTTCAATTTAATAAAGATTACTCATAATAGTATATATTGCCTTTTCTTGTGTTTTTTTATACAGCGTATCTATTGAATGTGTGCTTCAATTTGTAATATGAATGTGCTTGTATGTTAAAGGTTTTGGCAAGCAGATTTTTTTTGTATGTTGTGTTATGAGTAATATATGCGCCAATATTTACTGATAATTATATTAACTAATATGTTCTAATATTTATTTATTGAACATATAATTCCGTTATTTGATGTAATATTTCTTTTGTAATTTCATTGCATGTACCTGGTGTCTTAAATTCCAGAGAGATATAAATCTGATTTTACTTTATATATAGGTGCTGATATTGCATCTTGTTAAATACTTGAAAGTGGCAACATATATTACAGACTGCGAAATCCTAGATGATAACATTTCCCATTTAATGTGGCATGGCAAAACAAACTTGCCATAACTTGTTTCTGGAGGGAAGCAAACGCTATTTTTCGCTTCAGTTCATTTATGACTTTAATCTCGCCTGTCTCCCTCTACCTTTAATTCTGTTTAACTTTATGCAAGCTTTGGGATTTGCTGGCTATAAGAGTTTTAAATCTCTCCTACACAGTTGGGACTGGTTTTTCAAAAGTCAGATTTGGGGAGCTTTTAAAAATTAAGAGGTGACATAAGTTGATAGCTTTGCCTTTTGTGTTGTCTTACCACTTTTTTAAAATTTAAATGTAGATATTTTATTTACTGATTAGCCACAAGTTGTCAAATATGATATTAACTAATAGGCTGCAATAGTTAATTTCTTTGTTGTAATTGCATTGGCAACAATCTTTCAGGACAATAATCCAAGGGCATGCTTGGACCTAGGATCATAAAGCTGGCTATAGATTGGTTTTGATTGTTCACTACAACCAATCTTTGCAGCAGCCTTGTTGTATGATGGTCATTATTGGATATAACAAAATATGTTGTTTAAAGCGACCATGTCTTGGGGAAAAAAAAAACCTGATAAATGATGAGGCATAATACCTGTTCTACCGCCCTTGCTTCCAATTTTCATTCTCTTGAAGAGCTATGCTGGCTGAAGAATCTTTAACATCAAACATACTTCCAGGCTGCCAGGAGAACACAGTAGTCCAATGTGTTACAACGGGTGGAACCACAGAGCACAGTGGGGGACCAGGCACCGATCCCTCCTGGAAATGTATGGCTTTTTTTTAAGACCGAGTAACATTTATTTAAAGTGATAAATAAGTAAATTTCCATATTACAGGAAATTCGAAGAATAATGTATTTCTGTCAGGTTATCAGGTATTTTTTTGTGCATACAGCGTTTATTAGAGAGATAAAACATGAGGAATTGTGCATGTATTACAGAGCTGCACTGAGGAGGGAATTATCTCAAAACTGGGCAGACAGAATCAGGAGAAGTAGCACATAGCAACCAATCAGCTTTTTTCGGTTTGTTCAGTTAAGCTTTGAAAATGAAAGAGTAGAACTGATTGGTTACTATGGGCAACTGCTACAGGTTCTGTTTTTTCACAGACATACATTTTAAATACAATGATGACCATCATCTTTAAGAAAGTGTTTGCACAAAAAAGCAAAAATGGAGGTTGTGTCTGGTAGCATGAGAGCAGCATGTATTAGCACGTTATCATATCCACCTCAGAGTCCAAATAGAAGGGGATTTTGGAATTTTAAGGTTAGTGGGACAAACCATGTTAATAATTCCTTTATGCCCTAGTATTCTTCCAGTGCTCTAACCATTCATCCATACTTACATACTTGGTTTACAACTTGAGTATAGTCCTTTTAAAAAAAATAAAATAAATGTCATTATTTTAAATAACTTTTTTGTGGCTTATATGGAGAATGACTAGGAAAATAACCAAACAGGTTAACGACTCAGATTATAGCTTTGGAGGGGAATAAAAAACAACTTCTCTAAAATAAATTAATGAAAAAAGTCCAACAGTGCCTCCCTGAAACAGAAGGTATTAATGGTATATGTAATCACCTTTACTTTAACACTATTGAGACGTTCCATAAAGTGTCAATTACATTTTTCACACCTGTATTGTGAGGAATCTGGAAATTGTTGAATTGCTAAGAGGCTCCAAAGGGTATTGGAAAACTCTTTTTGTAGTAAAGCAGGGTATGTATAAGTGATTCTTAGTTTCTGCTTAAGCAGAAATGAAGACAAACATGCTTATAGGTTATGATGAGATATCTAAAGATCTACCATTGTGAGTTAGTTTGAAGCTCTTGTTTAAAAGGTCAAGAGGCTAATTTCTACAAATCATGATGATCAGCATGAAATTGGCTGGCAGGAACAGTATTCTGGCTTGGGAAGCTAAAAACATATTTTTCCCTTTGCTGATTCAAGTGGAATTCTGCAAGTTGCCTTATGAACAGCTCTGTAATGCATATAATATAATATCTTTCAACTGGCGTATGTCTCTATCAAAACATTTAATCAATTCAACTTCACATCAGACACCAGACTATTAAGATCTACAGTTCTGCTGAAAAGTTTGCATACCTTTAGGGAATTGATAATATATGTACCATTTTTAAAGAAAACATGAGTGAGCAGGCAAAACACATTTATTTTATTTCTTATGGGATTTATATTCAGTTGGGCACAATCGTAAAACAAAACATGGCAACAAATAAAAAAATAAAATGACCCCTGTTCAAAAGTCTACATACCCTTGGCTCTTAATACATTGTAATGTCCCCTTTAGCATCAATGCCAGTGGTGCAGTCTTTTGTAATAGTTGTCAATGAGGCCCCCAAATTCTTGCAGGAGGTAAAGCTGCCCATTCGGCTTGGCAAAATGCCTCTAGGCCATGCAAAGTCTTTGGTCGTCTTGCATAAACCGCACATTTGAGATCTCCACAGAGTGGCTTGATGATATTAAAGTCAGGAGACTGTGATGGCCACCTCAGTAACTTCACCTTTTTCTGCTGTAACCACTGGAGGGTTAACTTGGCCTTGTGCTTAGGATCATTGTCGTGCTGGATAGTCCAAAAGCATCCCATGAGCAACTTTTGTGCAGAAGAATGCAAATTGTCTGCCAGTATTTTCTGATAATATGCTGCATTCATCTTGCCATCAATTTTCACAAGATTCCCTGTGCCAAGCTTCACAGTGTGGATGCTATTCTTATCTCTATAGGCCTTGTTGACACCTCTCCAAACATAGCGCTTATGGTTGTGACCTTAAAGCTCTATTTTGATCTCGTCACGGGAGGTGGTTAACCACTTCCCATTCGCTGATTGTTGAAAGACGGCCTGACGGGAGTCTCCTGGATGCTGATGGGCATCTTTAGACATCCTTCGCACGAGTCGGAACCCCGCCAGGATTTTAAACGGCCAGCGATTGCCTTTTACATACAAGCGGTCCGGCGTCTAAAGACACCTGATCGCTTGTATTTAAGACCCCTCCTCTCGTTGCCGTTGTTGTCCCCGCCGCCGCCATTCCCGGGCGATGTGGCTCTGTTCACTGAGAATGGAGACAGATCAGTCCGCGATCTCCCTCCGCTCTCCTCCCGATCTCTGAATGCAGGAAGTGATGTATATTACATCACTTCCGCATTCCTCTGTCACTCTCCGGTACAGAAACCGGAGAGAAGCTGATGAAGCAGATTCATCAGCTTCTCTGGGGGTCCCTAGGTGACATTAGGTGTCGTAGAGACTCCTGATGTCTCCATAAAGGGGACCTGTAACTGTAATTTGTTATCACATAGGAGCACCCTATGTGATAACAATGAAGTTAAGTGTAAAAAAAAATCAATACAAATTTACACACACAAAACAAAAAAACCCAAAAAATGTTTTTAACAGTCCCCCACATAGATGCGCAAAAATGCGTTACATGCGCCTACACGCAAAAACCGCGATTGCTCCAATTATGCTGCATGTGTTACATATCGCCGTGAACGTCGCAATGAGAGCAATAATTCTAGGGCTATCAATCACTGATAACACTAAACTGATGAGCGGTAAAATCTTTTAAAGCATCGCCTATGGCAAATTTTTGCTATGGTGTTTTTTTGCGATTTCGCGGGCGCACGCAATTTTAAGGCTTGACATGTTTGGTGTCTATTTACCCGACGTGACCCCGCCTTTTATATTTTACCAAAAAATAGGGTAAAAATAATTGTTTTCTAAAACAATAAAGGGAAAACCATTTTTTTTAAACTATTTTGTACTTTTTTTGTTATATATATATATATATAAACCCAGTGGTGATTAAATACCACCAAAAGAAAGCTCTATCTGTCCCTCAAAAAATGGTATAAAATATATTTCAGTACAGCGTTGCATGACGGAATAATCGTCAATCAAAGTACAGCAGCGCTGAATACTGAAAAATGGCCTGGACAGGAAGGGGGTGTAAACACCCCAGTCAGCAAGTGGTTAAGCAAGAGGACCAACCTGGCAGGTAGCTAGCATATTCAGAAAGACTGGGGCAGCATTGTTTATCATGTTATTCTCATGACAGATTCTCTTTAATATGGCACACGAAGGCAGTGCATCCTAGTGGCACAGACAGTGAGCAACAAATTAATCATCAAGTATAAATGCAATAATTGGACCTCATAGACATTTATGCACCATGTTCTCGGCCGGTGCTGCCACTAGGCAAACTAAGCAGCCACCTAGGACGCACTGCTGCCTAGGGCGCAGCCTTGTTTAATCACACCCCTCCCTCCTTGGTGCCCCCCTCTATTTTAAATTGCAAAAGCCAATAGCAGGCTAGCTATTGCACCCTCCCACTGAGCAGAGGAGCGGAGCTGAGAGACAACTTTCTCTCTCAGGTCCGCTCCTCTGCTCAGTTGCTGAGGTTTCAATAGCTAGTCTGCTATTGTTTTAAAAAAAAAAAAAATAGCCAATAGCAGTCTGGCTATTGTCCTGGCTGCTTACATCCATCTATCACCTGTGGAAGCTAGGTGGCAAAAGAATGGGGCTGCACCGTGGGAGGGGGCCTGGGTGGTGCAAGTAGCTGGTCAAAATGGTCTAGCACTGGCCCTGCCCATGTTACTAGTACTTGTTCAATACAGAGAGAAGTCTTCAGTGGTAGTACAGCTTGGCTTTTAATATAATTGACTTAAACTGTTCAATAACTCTTACAGTACATTTTTATTGATTTGTTTTCTTGCATAATTTGGTGTGTGGTGTGTTTTATTGTAATTTAATCCAGTAATTGTACATCTTTCCTAATGTCATAAACACAAAATCACAAGTACCATTACAGAAGAATTTGAAAACAGCAAATAGAATAAGATATAGATCTCAAATTGATCTCTATAGTCAAATGGTTATAATGTAAAATATAATAGGAAAGTGCATTTAACACCTCTTTCAAGGTACCTAAGGCTTTCCTTTTTTGTTTTTTTTGTTTACTGCAAATGTGAAAAATAAATTGATAGAAGTAATCTCAAAATGGACAGTATTAATTAAATATACTAACTGGTTTATTGGAGGAACATTTTTTAACCTATGTTGTGGGATTGTCATTATTAACTATACATCTATACCTGTTTTACCTGAATAAACACTTATGTATAACTATCCTTCCTCCAGGCTTTACTTTTTATGTTTTATACGTGTGTAGCATTTTAAAACAGACCTTGAGCTAAAAGGAAACTTGCACTTATTTATTCAGGCCTGAGGAAAAAAGTTAGCAAATGTACCTTTTTTTCCAGCTTCCGCCTACAGCGACTAGGTGAGGCTGACGTCATGGACCTACAGGCAAAATCCCAGGTAAAGTTGAGTACACATGGATTCAATTTCAGCTGATTCCTGCTGAATCAGCCGATATTGAATTTGTGGGTGGCCCTATCCCCTTGACCGATGTCGATTATTAGATCGACTTTTGTTTGATGAACATGCTGGAAAACTGTGGACCGAACGATGCTTGCAGCCAATCAGCAATATACAGAGCTGGAGATTCATTGCTGTTGGCGTGAATGGAGGAATCTGTCATATTTGATCCCTTCAGCCTGCAAAGGGTGAACAAAACCATGTGTAACCCAGCTTAATGCTAAGTAGCCCCAATCTCACAAGATTATGCTCCAGCACAGTGCAGGAGCTTCTGCTTGCTAAATTTGGGGTACTGAGCAATGCCCAAGCTTCTTTTTTTTTCCAGTGTTTTTTGGCATGGGGTAGGGGAGAAGACCTGAAAAATAAGCAGACCTTGCTTTGTGATGCGAGGTCTGCTTTAAACAAGAATAAGCATCCTATATTTTGGCTATCTAATAATTATAGACCCCATTGGCTAATATTGTGTGTATGAATAGTTTGTGGACAGCTCCTTTACCAGATACAGCACACAAAGGATAGATAATCTTGTCATATACTGACTAGCCATGCATCCATTTTCCCCTTGCAAAATCTGTTAGTATATTGGAACACTGAAAATCCACTCATGGTTGTTTATTCCATTTTGATTAAAAATCAGGCTTTCATTTTGATTAAATAAAATATTTTAGCCATTATAGGGTGCTGTTAGCTTTGTTGGAAGACCCATGACCTGCGACTGAGACAGAGCTTTCTGATACTGGGCAGTATTTTTTTTTCTATAATTCCTTGATATTCTTGAGATTTTATCTCATTGTATCCAAACCATAACCAAGCCTTCTCCATGTTTCACAGTAGGTATGACGGTCTTTGCTTTGAAAGCTTTATTTTTGCATCTGTGAACATACAGCCATTGTAGCTTGTCAAAAAGCTCCAGTTTTGTCTCATCTGTTCAAAGGACATTCTCCCTGAAGCACCGTGGCTTGTCTATATGCACTTGAGCATACTCCAGTCTTGCTTTTTTTTATGTTTTTCCTTCAACAGAGTTCTCTTTCTTCCTTTAAGCCCATTATCACTTAAAAAGTGACAGATGGTTTGATAAGACACTGATGTACTTTGACCTTGGCATTCCACTTGTATCTCTGTTTTCCTTAGCCTTTTGTCTACCATTTACACTCTCCCTCTGTTCAATCTGTGGCTGATTTTCCTACTGCCCCCATGTCCAGAGATATTGGCTACACTCCCATGGACCTTAAACTTCTTAAATCATATTTACAACTGTATTCATAGGACATTAAGCTTCATGGAGATTGTCTGATAGCCTTTTCCTTTGACGTGATGGTCTTTCATTTTCTTTATCTCCTCAGATAACTCCTCTACTTTGCTCTCTGGTCCATGTTCATTGTGGTGCACGCAATAAAGCAAAACAGCAGAGAAACTACTTTTTCCCATTTAAATAGGCAGACTGACTGATTACGAGATTAAAGACATGGTTAAAGATCACACCATTCAAGTGAAGCTGAGTATACATGGACATATTTGTTTCTTTCAGCCTCGCAGGCTGAACAAAAAAATATGACATATTGCTCCATCCACGCTAATAGTGTGGATGAATGAATCTCCTGCTGTGTACATTGTATTCCAATAGCAGTGCCTGTCATTATCAAAATCCCCAAACAGTGCTTGCAGTTGATTAGCTGTGAGGATTGTTAAGCCGACAATTTTCCAACATATCCCTTTGACAAAAGTTGATCTAATAGGACCACCCACAAATCAGATTTCACGTGATATTCGAGTGGTGTGTACCCAACATTAGACCCCAAATTAAGTGTGTTGACTGTTGACCAAATCTTTTTCCACTGTGCTCAGTGATAAATTGTTATAGAGTGTTTTCTGCTAAATAAGCCATAGAGCCTAGAGCTTTCATTTGAGCACAGTTTTTTCTTAGTTGCTTCAGTCCAGCTTAGGTGTTTAAATTATGCCTCTTGGTCCAATCATTTTCTTCTTTCCACTTGTATTCAGCAATCCCTCCAGCACTGGTTCCGGTCTCTAATCCAACTTCTGTATCCCATGGTGTCTGTCCTGTCTGTTTCAGGTGTACATTGAAATGACCATTCTGTAATATACAGTAGGTGCAATGTAACGACAAACAAAATGCCATTTGAATTTTTGTGAAAGTAATCAGTCCTTGAGTGGTTATTTGTGGCAACTGTGAAAATGAAATAGTCTAACTCAACAGTAAGGATTTAGCAGACAGCCTTTGGATGTAGATATAGCTGTTCAAACCATAGCCATTGATGTGCAGTCAGCTACAAGAGGCCTGGTGGGAGGATCAGGCAGGAACCTGTGTGACACAGGGCCAAGATTGGTGGGTCCAAAGCCCTGATGTACCCATCTGAATCCAACTGTTTCCTGACAGTCATTAAGTCAAGTACAGAGCACCCACAGATTGGTAAAATCAGAAACGTTATTTTGTCGTCAATGTTTTCCTGGTGTCAATTGGTAGAGACCTGTTGTGAGCTTGAAGAAGACTGCTTATTAGCAGAATTTGTTTTTGAAATGGGGTATTGGCATTATTGCTTATACTGTGCCTAACCTTCGTAACCATAGTCATTTATGATTCTATGTTTACATTTTAAAGTTTTTGTAACATTCAACTTTGGTTACATATAGGTTACCAATTCAGAAATAATGAAAATTGGGAGTGACATTTCCCAAATGGATCCAGCATGCTGGAAATTCATGCATAATCTTTTATGGAAATATATGTTTGGAAAGAAAATCATCTCACCTGGGCTCTTGGTGTTCATGAGACCAGGAGATTCTTGCTTATTGTAGCATCAGAATAGAGATGTGCCCATGTAAGGCCATCAATACAGTAGATGCATATAACTTTGATTTGATGTTATAGTAAAGGAAGTGACCTGCAGTAAATACAAGCTCAAAAGAGCTTGTTTTCCTGTTAGTTAGCAGTGTTATAAATAATCTGCAAACTGCAAAGGATAAATCATGGTAGAGAATGTAATGTCCAACAAAGGACGAGTCAACACACATGTAGCTTTACGTAGTGGCAGGACAGTGTCAGGGTTTGTTTTATATAATTTTGGCCCGGTCTATTCAAGAGAAAATCTTCTGTTTCTACAGAGATCATGTTATGTGAACCTCTTGGACACATCTTTTTATTAAATGATTGTTTTCTGCATGCTATGATTTATCTTACTACATATTTATCTGTTTCAAGTCTTGCCTGTAATAAAAGAAACAGAGTGCATACTAAGTAGTAAAATATGTTGTTTACATTTAACAAGCTGATTCTGTCTCTGCGGCCAGCGTAATCAAATTCTAATTATATTGGCCATTAATGTTAGACTTAATATAGCTTACGTCCTTAGATTATTCTAGTTTGACTTAAATTGTCTATATGTCTTGTACATAATGTAAAGTCTGCACAGTTTCACATAAACGGAGTGCAGCTCATATAATGGAAAATATTAACTATTTATTTAAGTCAGGCTAAATTGTAACAATCAGGTTGGTCAACCCAATGTACAGTATTTAGCTTAAATGAATTCCAAAACTAGCATAATAGCATAAACTTATATAAAACAATGCTTGGGTGAGTTTACAAATGTTCAACGATATCACATTACTATCTTTTATATATGACATATTTTTTTCTGTGGTTTCATCTACATTTTATACAACAGGCCCACCCAACATTAAAATGTTACTGTTTTAATTTGAAACGGTAAAATCTAAGGGCTCGTTTATACCATCTGCATTTTGGCTGCACTGGCCGTTTTTGTTTTAGCTCATCCCAGGCAATTTGCCTCGTCATGGATGGTGAAATTTCACACCACTGTGTTCCAGTGGTGTGCACTTAAATTACTGCATGCTGTACTTTTTTTTTTAAGTGCACTGCAGTGAGTTGTGGTACAACTGCCCTTAAAATCTAATGAAATATCACTTGTGTCACTTTCTGCTCTGAGGAAAGTATATCTTTTCCTGCTCTTTTCTTCTAGCAAGTTTCCCTAATGCTGCTCACAGCCAATGCAGCAGCTATATCCGGATTGTTTTTTTTTCTGGGCAGAGCCTTGGCAGGCAGTACTTGAACCCGACCTGCGAGGAAGATGGGGGCTGGTCTGTAATGCAGTTAGGGAGCTGGATTCGGCATGGGGCATTCACCTTGGCCATTTGTGCAGAATGTGTAGTTGTTGCAGGCTTCTTTACAAGCCCAGGACCTTGCTCTATTGCGATAGAGTCCTGTCCCTGAAGACCTTCTTCAAGGGGTAAGCCCACAAGGAGGGCAAAGACTAGATGGGACATTAACCCCTTTAATTGACCACACTGCCAACTGAATCACTTTTTGAGTGTAGTAAGTCAGGGCTTGTCCTTGCTCAAGTGCCTTGTTCTGCCCGTTCATCCTGCGGGTCATTTTAGTGTTCCACTGGGTGGGGGTGGATTGCTGCTCTTATTTTTTTTAATTTTGTGTCTTTCGTCTGGTGTCGATGGGTGACCTGGGAAGCCACATGGAGCCTGCACAGAGTCCCACTAGAGGTTCCTACTGGTTCTGGGGAGGGTATTGTCCCCACTTGTTTCTGCTAGCCCTATGATGTGCTCTTCATTCCCCACCTCAGGGTCATCCTCCGCACCCTCCAGTGCACCCTCTTATTCCAGGGAAGAGTTTACCACTGTAATGGTGCAATTCGTGGGGAAAATGTCTGCACTCTTAGAGTCCTCAGTCCGCAGGGGGCTAAGCGGACCCCTTCTCCTTCCCCTTCATAGTCTCCCTTTTGACCTTCATCTGTCTTCTTGTGTGCTCCCTGAGGAGGAAGTAAAAGGGGCTGCTTTCAGTTCTGTGAACTCTTCCATGGGAGAGAACCTGACATCCAGGGAGGAAAGGGGGCCTTCTTTGCCTCCTGGGTCCAGAGCATCATAACCAAATGATACAAGCTTGAGTTTTGCTTCTTGCCTCCCCCTTCTCTCTGCTGTCAAACTCACCAATATCCCCCTCAAGACAGTTGGTCTTCTTGCATTGGTGGACACCATGGATGCATATTTGCACATCCCCATTTTTCATGCACATTTGAGCTGTCCACTGTGCCTCAGGTCTTCACCAAGGTGCTGGCCCCTGTAGTTCCCCCCATAGTGAGGCACCTAAACAATACAAACCCTTTAAATGTTCATATGGGCTCTTAACCTCCAAAAGTCATTGTTGGAACCCTCACATCATTTGGAGTACCCTGACCTGGTCTTGGGCATGGCCCTGTCAAGGATCTTCCTTTCTCTGGAAAAGATCCTGTTCACTCTTATGCTCAGACCTTGCAGTCTAGTTCTGTCCCTGTACCTCTCAATACACTAGCACAATAAGATCATGGTGGATCTCCAACCCAACATTGGAATTGGAGAAATTATTCCTCCCAATAGTCTGCAAGGTGTTCAGGACAGATGGCAGCCAGCCAGGCTAGGTAGGAGTCCTCAGGAGCCTCTCGAATCAAAGGACATGATCAATGGAGGAATCTAGTCTCCCAATCAACATCTTAGAACTCAGGGCCATTTGGTTCTCCTTTCAAAGTGGGATCCCCCAGTTACAGGGTCACCTGACCAGGATTCATTTGGACAACACCACAGCTGTAGCTTCCATTAAGTCATTAGTCAAACTCCTAGCAAACTCTCCAAGGGCACTTCATGATCTTCCAGACCTACTATCCAAGGATCAGTATTCCATCCTGCTTCATGGTTGCTGGTATTAACAGCCTTACTATAATTAATTTTAGGTTATAGAGGATTCAAAAGGTATAGTGATGATATATATATCAAGTGGGCAAAAGGGATATGTTTGATTTTTGGCCTAGCATGGTACTTCCAGGGCTGAAACAAATGTGGAACTAAATGTAGTCTTTTGCACTTAGATTTCTCACATTCAATCCAATGGGATGGAGGAATCTCTCTTGCTGGATATTGTATTCTGAGAGCCTGCACCTGCAACTGTCGACTAAAGCCAAACAGCAGTCACTGTTTGGGTAGTCTAACAGCTGGCCAACAGTTTTCTACCTGGCTTCAGTCAAGGTTTGTTGATCCAGGTGGTGCTGGCAGGGCTACTCACGGATTTATTTTAATCTGAATCAGCAGATTGCCAAAATTCAATCGATGTATGTGCAATTTAAGAATAAGCACCCATACCCCCCAAGTATCATCACCTAATTTTCTCACTTTCTTCATCACCAGTGGTCACCTTAACACTTATACTTCCCCCATATGTTAAGCTTACAAACGTAATCTACATAGTAGGCTACTAGCAATCCAAAAAGCTAACCTTTTTAATGCACCTGCCAGAGAAAAAATCTAAGTCAACTGCCGCCATTGATTAGGCCGGAAGGGGAGAGAGGTGTGTCAAGCGCAGTTTAAAGTGGGCTTGGATGAACTCATGCAAACTGTGTTTGCACTAAGCCAAAGCTCATCCCTAGTCATCAGCAGTCACACTGAATGGAATGCCCTTGCCCCATGTGACATTCCTGGGGTCTATTGATTGGCTGCTAATTCCCCAGGTGCTGTATTTTGGGGAGGAAAATAGTCTGCCTAACTCAGCTCTTAAACTTTAATCCCTGATCCCAAGCCATACATTAATTGAATTCTTAACATCCTTTTTAATGCTGACAACCCTGAAAATGAATGTATTATTTAAACTATGATCCCAATACAAAATGTTTGCCGTCACACACATTGGTATATTTCCATGCATTGCAATGCACCATAATGTGTTACATCAAACATTTTGTCCAATGTCTGTTGCCATCGTGTGTTAGGGGGTGTTAATCAAAATTACTGGAACTGCAGTATGTCAATGCATGTACATTTGATGCA